CCTGTAGGTAGGTGAGTCCTCCTGAGCAATCCCCGCTCCTTCGGCCCCTCTGCAACGCACTCCCGAGTCCTGCCCATTATACCTCCTAAAGATCCTCATCTGTGCATCCTCTTCTCGGCAGCCACTTTCATAGATGCAGCAAGACCCTCCTTGGTGGTCCAGCCCAGGGTAGAGTTGGACGCCCTGGGCTGGAGGGATGGAGGGGTGGTGAGGGCTGTCAGGGGCGAGCCAGCATCTATTCCCACGCAGCGCTGGTGAGGGGATTGGCCCTGAGGCCCGGGAACCCTGGCGCTGGCCAAGGTTGACGGAAGGAGTGCATACTTGGGTATGAGGCTGGGCCAGAGGGCTTCTGGCAGAGGTGCATCCGGAGCAAGAAGAAGAGACTAAAAATGAGAACAAATTCTATTTCATATTTACCCACATATTCACCAGTTCTGCCATTCTTCATTCTTTTCTAATCTGAATATCCATGTAGCATTTGCCTCTGTCTGAAAAACTTTATTTTATTTTTTAGAGACAGGGTCTCACTCTGTGGCCCAGGCTGCAGTGTAGTAGCACCATCATAGCTCAACACCGCCTTGAGCTCCCAGGCTCAAGTGATCCTCCCACCTCAGCCTCCGGAGTAACTGAGACTACAGGCACGTGCCACCATGCCCAGCTGATTTTTTTTTTTTTAGTGATGGAGTCTTGCTATGTTGCTCAGGCTGGTTTCAAGCTCTTGGCCTCAAGTGATCCTCCCGCCTTGGCCTCCCAAAGTGCTGAAATTGCAGGTGTGAGTCACCACGCTTGGCTTCTCTTTTGGCACTTTAAAGACCTTGCTGCTTTGTCCCCTGGCTTCTATAGTTCCTAGTGAGAAATCTTGTGTTAATCTAACTTGTGTTCTTTGTACATGATTTGTTGTTGTTTTTTCTCTGCTTTTAAGATTTTCTCTTTGTCTATGTTTTTCAGCAAATGTATTATGATATGCCTTGCTATTCTTCTGTTTCTACTTGTATTCAATCTTTTCTCTGGCTTCTTGAACCTATGGAATATAGTTTAATTGATGTTTTACGATCCTTATCTGCTAATTCTATCATCTGTGTCATTTCTGGGCTGTTTATATATATAATTTTCTCCTAGTTATTACTCACATTTTCTTGCTTCTTGGTATACCTAATTATTGTTATTATTATTTTTTACAATAGAGTCTCACTCTGTCACCCAGGCTAGAGTGCAGTGGCATGATCATGGCTCACTACAGCCTGGAACTCTTGGGCTCAAGTAATCCTCCTGCCTCAGCCTCCCAGGTAGCTAGGCTACAGGTGCATGGTGCCGTGCTTGGCTGATTTTTAAATTTTTTGGTAGAGATGTGGTATTCCTATGTTGCCCAGACTGGTCTCAAACTTCCGGCCACAATCGATCCTCCTGCCTTGGCTTCGTAAAGGATTATAGGCATGAGCCACCTGGCTAGTGCCTACTAACTTTTGATTAGATACCGGCTATTGTGAATTTTATACTGTTCAATAATGTAGTCATTTAAAGTGTGTTGCACTTTGTTCTGACACATTATTAAGTTATTGTAGCTACTTGATCCTTCTGAGGCTTTCTTTTAAGCTTTGTTAGGGTTGGTCAAGAGCAGCTTTTAGTCTCGGGTTAATTCAATCCCACTATTAAGGTGAGATACTTCTGAGGACTCTGCCCAATGCTCCATGTCTTACCAAGTCTTTTAATTCCAGCTGGTGGGAATGAGAACTATTTCCAGCCTGCGTAAGCTCCGAGAATTGCTCGGCCTACGACTGTTCAGTGGCTCTGTCCCTAAGCAGTCACAGAGCAGTACTCAGCCAGAGACCATCCGCAGTTCTCAGCACTGTCTCTGTGCAACTCTTTTCTCTAGTACTCTTTCTCACAAATTCTAGATATCTCTGCCTACTTGAACTTCAGTCTCCATCTCCTCAACTCACTGAGACTGACAGGTTCCCCTGGCAGAACTGCAGCCCTAACCCTCTGTCCAGGCAAGCAGCTGGAGCAATCACTTACTCTCCTTTTCTCAGGAATCACAGTCCTAGCCAGTGCCCCAGACAGCTGGTTGATGAATACATTTTGCACAGCTAGGGAATACAATCAAATTGGATATTTTCCTTGATAATTAAATACACTCACATTTAGTTTTGCTTTTATATAGAAATATAGTAAAGGAAAAAGTGAAAACAAAATAAAGTAAAAATCACCAATAATCCCACCCTACAGCTAAAACACTTGTTCACAGTTTGGTTTGTGCCCTTTTCCTCTTTTTTTCCTTGTTTCCTAGTTGTTCATGGTAGGAGGACAATTTCCATAACAGTGATCCTTTGTGGGTAGACACAGAAGTCCCTTGTAGTGTAGTTTTACATTTGACATTGACCATTTTTATGGGAATTCTTGGCTTGAGATTCCTACCACATGGTGCTATAAATGTGGACCCCGCGAGCATGCATTACTGGTTTAAGGAACCCATTAATTTTTTTTTCTATCCAGAACCACCCCCAGGCAGATGGCAAACTTCTGTATAGCTTCTCTATGTTAGTTGGTGATATTTTTACTATTGCCTTTTTTGTTTTGACTAAGCCACCCTTTATACATCCCAGATTTGTGCATGGGCATCACAACTCCAGTCCCAGGCTCTAGGGCCTATATCTAGGTAAAATCTGTATTTTTGCATTATGGCAGTCTGTGCATATTTTATTTTTATGTACTTGTAATGTTTTAGATAGTTAGCCTGGTAGCAGCTCAGCTTTGTGATTCTAACTTAAATTGTTTAATTGATTATAATTTTATGTTGGTCTTACTAAGTTTATATACAATATGAGAACATTTAAGAGAACCCCAAATTTTCCATACTTATATACTTAATTTAGTAGATAATTAAAGTTATTTAAGTTGTTGGGATGTTTTTGTTTAAGTCAGACAATAGTTGTACTTCAAATGGAAAGAAAATATATTAATTTATAAATATAGTTTAACAAATTAAAGGAAGTTTAGTTATGCTATAAAAAGCAGCCCTAAATTTATTTTTAATGGCTAGACTTTTAAATAGAAAAATAAGATTGCAAAGCTGAACTTAAAGGATTTGGGAAGATCTGGGTTTTAAAATTTGTGACTTGACTATATTTCATATTTATTTTATAAAACTAAACTCAGAATAGTCTTTTCTGTGTGGCAATATGATCCCCTGAGTACCAGTAGCTCACATTTAGCAGGTTACAGATTCATAAATCCTTACGTGTTAGTAAGTACCTTCAGCACCGTTAAACTGATGGGTCTAGAGTTTCAGTTATATTTTCCCTGTAGAAATAGCAGCTTTTTACCTAAGCTATTAAATCATGGCTTCGTTGGTTTAGTTTGGTCATTATAATGGCTGTAATCATTCTTATAAGCATTTTATTGAGAAATCTCAGCTTATAGAGCTCTGAATACAAAAGCCACTTCCCTCACTGAATGCAACCGTGTCCCATCAAGTCCCTCAGCTGGACAGCAGGGATCTTAGCGAGAGCACACTTTGACTTCATACGCTTTCGTGCGATTTCAGAATTTGGAATATACTGTTTTAGAATTTTGTTTTCATCTGATTCAAAATCCTTCTTGCTTTCTCCCCAGTCTGGGCTCCAGTGGGTGGAACTGTGGGATGGGGCGGCAGGTTCTACTTGGAAACACCCCACTTTTCCTGACTCTGTGGCTGGCTCTCGTGAAGGGTGCACTGGGGATTCTTTGCAGAGTCTTAGGTGTCTCTCTCCTGCACAGCCCCATGGCATGGGAGAGTGGCCACTGCTTGACCCTTTTCTCCTCTCTTTGGATCTCCTGCAAATGTCCTTCTGGGGCCACTTGCCCAGAGGTAGCCCTCTTGCCGAGGCAGGCAGGACTGCAGACTGCTCAAGGCCAGCTACGTTCCACGTGGCCTGCTGGACCCTCAGCAAACCCCGTACTTGCCATGCCTGAGAGTGAGAACACAGCATCTCGCTCCTGCCTGGGGTTCAGTGAAATAGCAGCAGCATCGGGCGCCTGGCCGGACAAGTGAACTGGCAACCGTCAGAGGAGAGGCAATTTTCAGCCCTGAACTTTGTAAAGGAGAGAATGGGTAGGAGCCCTCCAAATTGTGCAGGGAAGACTCTTGCCCCATCTCCTACCCTGGGCAGGAGAAAGAAGAGGAAAAAACTTTCCACCATGACTATTTTCCCAGAGTGGGGTGTGTGTGTGTGTGTGTGTGTGTGTGTGTGTGTGTGTGTGTGGTGTTGGGACAGGGGAGGACCAAACTTCCTAAAGCAGCTGCTGCTGGGATGCTGCCTCTTGGCAAACCCCGCAGGAAGGAGGCCCCAAAGCTGGCAGTTTTCTCAGTTTATAATGAGGGCTTTTTAGTGCCTTTTATTCTTAGCTGTGGGCCCCTAGTCACCAATTCCGGCACTAGGCCCCTCACTCCATCTTATCACATGTAACTGACACATTACAATCAATTACCCTGTGTATCTTAACAATGGAGCTGGCTTGATTGTGTGGAAAGCTACCAGATGTGCAATGACCGTAATTTCACACCTCTGAGCCTCAGCCGACCCCGGTGACTTATGTGATCAGGCTGCAGAGGTACTGCTTTACCAAAAGGAATAGAAATCAGAAGATGTGTCTCAGGAGGTGTCAGGGAAGATACAGCAGAGGCCGCCCAACCGAGCAGCAAAACAGCAGGCATGTGAGAAACACTGTCGGGGAGGAGGAAAGATGTGACAACTGTTTATTCACACCGAGGAGGTTCCGAACCACGAGATGCCAACAGAAATGCACATCACCACCCTAACAATACATGAAACATACCGAAATGTACCGACGGGCTTCACAACTGCTCAGATCCAAACTGTTCCACAGCACATCCTTCTGCTCTCCCACCATCATTCCATGTCCCTCCAGCTTTATTCTGGTGTTTTCCATAAAACTGTTTCCTAATATTCGTGTTGCCAATGATATTTTCTTAACACATAATTTGTAGAGAAAGAAAACCTATTAGTTTGTGCTTTTTTTTATACGAATAAAAGACATGACAAGTTTTCCCCTAAACCAGCACAAAATAGGGAGGAGAAAGCTTGAAGACTTCCTCCTCCTTAACCCAAACCATCCTCACACCAGTGGCACAGGTCAGCTCAGCTCTCCTCGGCTCTCCTGGCGCCCCCGCCGCCAGGCTCCCGTCACTTGGCCTTCTTGCCGCCCTTCTGGGACTCCAGAGCAGCCTTCCTGGCCTCCTCTTCTGGGATGAACACGCTGACAGTGAAGTCACTCGTCTCTGAGCCGTACTTGTTCTTCACAACCAGCCCGTATTTGCCAGAGTCAGCGGTGGTCACGCCATTGATGGTGAAGTAGGCCGTCTTCCCGGCCTCAAATTTGAGGTTGCAGTGGTCATCTGAGGCCAGGAGCTTCTCGTTCTTCAACCACGAGACTTCGGGACTTGGGTCGCCCCACACGTTGCAAGTGAGATTAAGGGCCTGTTATAAGAGGGAAGGATATAAATCAGATATACTGATCCACCTTCAAGAATCTTGCTGGCTGGCAACTTGGCATGACCAGAGGATAAATAAAAACTTCCCGGACCAGGGTTTAAAATAGTTATGTATGTGCGCCCGTGTGAGTTACAGTTGGAAATAACATCTAAGGAGGTCTCTTTAAGTCTGAGGCTTTCTGGGTTCTGGAATGCTTATTATCCAAAACACATGAAGCGGTTTGCTTCTCTTTTCTGCCTCCACTTTCTCTTTCGTAAACGAAGAGATGCCTTTTGCTCTAATGTGGCATTTTGGGCTCTGTCTCGGTAGAGAGATCTCCCCGTTGCCATAATCACCACCTGCCCTCTTTTGCATTTCATTTATCCCGGCAGCAGAATTGTAACAGCTGCTTCAGAGAATGTCATTAATTTTCAAATTCCACTTTCCTCCTTCTACTTCTCTCCTCAGACCCCATTCAACCTGTTGCAGTTGCAGAGGTGCACCACCAAAATGTATTCCCAAAGAAAATATTCCCCCTCGTGCCGAAACATTCTTATTCTAAAAGATGGATATTTAGGTCTACAGTTTTACTTTACTTTTTTAATTGAAAAAAATTTTGATCATTGTAGATTCACATGCAATTGTAAGAAATAATCCCCTGTATCCTTCAGCCAGTTTCCCCAGTGGTATTAATAACATTTTACAGACCTGTATAGTACAATATCACAACCAGTACATTGACATTGATCTCGTTTCGATCTCCCCAGTCTTACTTGTACTTATTTGTGCTTGTGTGTGTGTTTCATTCTATTCAATTTTATCACTAGTGTAGGTTCATGTATCTACCACCACAGTGAAAATACAGAATACTGCCATCAGCACAAGGACCCCTGTGTTGTCCTTTTATAACCACATCCACCTCCCCCTCCAGCTTCCCAGCCCTGTTCCTAACACCTGGCAACCACAAATCTGTTTTCCATTTCTAAAATGTTGTTACTTCAAAACTATTATATAAATAGGATCATATAGTATGTAACCCTTCAGAATTGCCTTTGTCATTCAGCCTAATTCCTTACAGATTCATCTGAGTTATTGCATGTACCAATAGTTTGTCCCTTTTCACTGATGAGTAGAATGTCATGGTGTAACTGGCTCTATGGACAAAAACACTTTTTTGTAGTTCTCTTATGTTTCAAGTTCCCAGGCCAGTAAGATTTGCTGACCAGAACTTTGTAACTTTCTATTTCACTGATCCATTCCCTTTTGAGTTATTTTTTCCCCCCAGAAACAGCAGAGTCTCCTCAAAGCCACAAGATAACTACAAGGCCTTACACAACCTGGTTGTCCAGGGAAGACAAGAAAAGTGACACCCCACCACAGATCGTGGCCAAGGACCCACGAAGCAACCTACTCCCCACATCCCGTCTGCACATAAGATGAAAAGAATGACCAATATTAACCCCTAGCTCATTATACTACCAAAATCTCCACCCTGGAAGGGACTTATCCACCATCTTTTATCATGCGGCATATGTACTAGCATGATTTCTCACTGCACTTGCGTTCCCTGCACTCCACCCCAAACATGTAATGATGCTCACTCACTTCATGCATTATTCTTTTCACCTCTAGAAAAAACATTTTTGAGGCATATTTGAGGCAGATCATTCCTCCCACCTCCCTGCTGACGGTTGACATGTCCTCTGTAATAAATCTCCTTTCTTCCTTGACAATCCTTGATGTCTCAATAATTGCCTTTCTATGGGGTGAGCAACAGAGGGAACCCCCCTTGCAGGTTCATTAACAATGGTGTGTATATGCCCAAAAGGGTTGTCTGGGCCTTTTCCAGTTTGGGGGCTGTTACAAATACAGTTGCTATGAACAATAGTATATAGGTTTTTATGTGAACATATAAGTTTTCATTTCTCTGGGATAAAAGTACAGGGGTACAATTGCTGGGTTGTATGGTAAATGCATGTTTTGTTTTTCTCCAAAAATTGCCAAACTGTTTTCCTGAGTGGCTGTACAATTTTGGTTTACATTCCCACCAGTAATACACAAGTCATTCAGTTTCTCCACATCCTCACCAGCATTCATTGTCAGGTACTATTTTAAATTTATTTATTTATTCATTTTTAGAGACAGGGTCTTGCAGTGGCACCCAGGTTGATGCAAACTCCCGGGCTCAAGTGATCCTCCCACCTGAGCCTCCCTAGTAGCTGGGACTACAGGTGTGCACCACCATGCCGAGCTATTTTTTTATTATAGCAGTTCTGATAGGTGTGTCATGATATTTCATTGTGATTTCAATTTTTATTTTCCTGATGGCTAATGATGTTGAATTTATGTCACATTTTAAATTCCATTCTTACATTTTTTTCTTACTAAAATCCAGAAATTATGAAGAAAGAACTAAGGCTCACCATATAGAGAGAAAAGGCTATCCTTCCAAATATCCTTCTAAAGGGCCTTATGTGATCACTTGTTACCTCTTTTGTAGGTGTATCATTTCAAATCGGATAGATTAAGAAATCTGTTTTCCTCACATCGCTAATGAACATATCTTAGTGAATTATTCTACAAACACATTTCAGCAAGAAAAGTGTGAATCAAACTATTGCCATTAAACTTATCTAAGCAGACCAGTTGTATGATTTCGGAAACTGTGATTACTTGAAGTTAAAACTTTTAACAAAATCAAACAAAAACTCCCAAACACCTTAGGCATCATGGAAAACTCTTACCCATACTCCAGATTTGAGTTATAGATTACAAAACGCTTGCACGTACATTCTCTCAATTCTCACTACAACATAGTGAATTGTATATTTTTAACCTCATTAGGTGAGAAAAATGAAAAAAGGAGTTTAAGAACAAAAGCAGCCTTGCACAATGGTTGAGCTTAAAGTCAACTGTGATCACATTTTCCACCCATGAAGAAACAGCTGAATGAAACCTACCTCTGGCTGAGGCATTTCGACACACCTTGCTTTGTTACCTGAGTTCCAACCACCTGCTGTAGTTCTTCACTTCCCTTTGAAGTGGAAAAAGTTTTGTTCCACTACAAATATCTCTACCCCTAGGACTGGTATATTAAACTTGTTGTAAGGAAACATAAAGATGAAGAAAGTGAATCCAGGTTAGAAATTACATTCACTGCCTCTCGGAAAGATTATCACTGAGCCAGGCTATACCAGTTTAAAACCAGATGGAAGGAAACCAGTTTTCGACAGAAATAGAGCCTATAGAAATTCTCGGAGCAGCATGTTTCCCTTCAAAGGTGAGGCACTTAATAGCACAGTCCATTTCCCACTATGTGTTAGAGGTTGTTTCTCTAATTATATTTGTCATGGAGTTATGACTGAACATTTTCAGTTTCTCACAATTTTCAAGGGTGACTCTGGAAAGATAACTAAGTGATCTATATATGTCCATAAGAGACAAACTTGTATCCTGATGCTTGAGATGATTGGAAAACCAGCAGCATTTGTAACCTTGCATTTGGCCACGTTGGTCAAGCATAAGCCGCCATGGAATAAGATGAAGATGGTGGGATGTTAAGTGTATCTTAAAAGAAGGCACAAAGGCTGAGGTGCCGGACCCCATTCCTAGCATAGAGGGGCAAGCACAGGAATGCTCCATGCTTACCTTGCCCTCCTGGATGGTGACCACGTCGGGGAGACCGCCCAGCACCCGGGCGCGATCTGCAAGCACAGGCACTTTTGGTTAATCACTGCAGCGATGAGGACAACAATTACACCCACAAAAACACCCCGGCGAACTAATTGTCCAATGTAGTTCCCTTCTCTTGACAGTTATTTTATATTGTTTTCAATATGCAAAAGAAGAAATGATCCAGGGATTCTGCATCTTAATCCTTCTTTACTCACATATTGTGTACATTTGGGTGCCTGTATCTGTACCTGAACTACCAGCTAAAATGATAGCTTTGTCATATCAAGACCTGCTCTATACTTTTCACCGCTATTTTCGGCTCTGGCCCTTCTGCAGCTTAGTGGAGCTAAGCTCAAGGAAGCAGAACAGATCTCTATGGACAGTTTCCAAGCTTGGCTTGGCCTCTTTTATGGGTTTCCATATGATGAAAAAAGGTTGCAAATGGGCTGTAGGCTAGAGAGATTTGGAAGCTCATGCAGATGTGAGCTTTCTCTGAGGCCTACCCTAGAGAACTTCCCTTTCTTGTCTCCTGGTAGTTCTTGGTAGTGCTGTGCAGGCCATGTCTGTGGCTGTGAGTATAAAGCCCCCAGTTGACAGGACAAGGCATGGGATGGGCGCTGAGATGCACGGCTGGCGTCCTGCGCCAACCCATGCACCTGGGTACGACTGCCTCAGCCCCTGGGAAGAGCACCTTTCTGTAATTCGCTCAAAGGCATCCTTTCTGGCATGAATACAGTGGCCAATCTTCTTTTCATTTTTAGGCCTGTTTCAATTAATTTGTGACTCTCATTTCTGCAATTTCCTTCTCCACTAAGTCAGGCGGAAGCTTTGCTTTGAGTGGAACTCGACGGCATTCTACTGCTGATTCCATTACAGCACTTGTAGGCCTGACTCGTCATCTGGTTCCCTGCGAGACCTGCTGTGCAATACTGGGCCAGTCACTCCCTGTGTGGGCCTCCGTCTCCAAATCTGCAGAATGGGGGAGGGGTTACTTCAGCCCCGTGGACATTAACTCTGCTCCACAAAGTCCGGAGGATTCCTCTGGGGGGCATGAGAGGAGGTAAGGAAGGGGGCACTGAGTTAGGAAGCCAGGATCCCGTCCCAGCTTCAGCTCTTACCTATCTTAGGTATTGGGGCTGTGTGGAAGACTTTGCTTGAAATGAGTGTTCTGTGGTTTACAAAAGTTTAAAACACACAAAGCTAGAAGATCTCCAAGGTCTTTTCCAGCGCTAAAGAGTTCACAAACTAGAGGATCAGACTCCTTGCCCACAGAAGAGTTCGAAAATCGGAAGATCCGCTTGCAGATGTGGGCTTTGCTCGGTACTAGACCAGAAATGCTCCTTCTTGCTGCGACACCACTCCCCCATCATGCTTCCATGCCCCTGGCACCGGCACCTGCCCCTTTGCCACCAGCAGCAGCCTCACAGACAAAGGGCCTGGGCCAGGAGAAGGAAAGAGGGAGAAAGGAGCACCCGGGGCACAGCGCAGGTTAAAGGTCCAAAGTCCATCCCGAAGGCCCTGGAGCCACTGGCAGGAGGAAGGACTTCATTTCTCACTCCTTCTCCTTCAAACCCAGCTCCAATTGACTGTACCATTTTAATCCATAAAAATTTTTAAATTCTGGCTCCCACACTGAGAGAGAAACTGAATTAGTATTATGGACTTGTCTGTGACTTCTGGGATCCTGTAAGACTGTGTTCTAAAAATCTCTGTGTGTGAAGCAAACAGCTAACAGAAGTGCAGCAGCGAGTTCGTTTCTGGGCACGCAGAATTGATAGTTTGGTGTTTGCTCCCTCAGACTGTGTCTCATTAAATGAGAGGAAGGAAGGCCTTATTCAGCATCTTTTCTCTTACAGGGCTGGTAGGAAAATGCATAGCACTTGTTGGTGATTTACCTGATGTCAAATTTACAATGTTTCTTGATGTTTTCCTTCCTTAATGGCTATATATTTTTCTGGTACAGTGTGCCTGCAAGTGACTAACAACCTTTTGTGTGATTTGCAATGAAGTGATTTCTCAGGATGTCTGGGAGATATCTCAAGACAAGGGCCAGGTCATAGTCTTATAATGTAACCTGAGACCCTCTTTCCATAGACATTCTTTTGCAAAAGACTAAAATGAAAACATATGTAGAACACCTAAGATTTGAAAAACAAAAGAAAGAAAGAAAAGAGAAAACCACTCCACTCTCTTCCAATCTGTAGTCATAATGGCAAAATAAAACTATATTTTGAATCTACACCAGGAGTAAATGTGAAAATTTACTTACTTTTCTCGGCAATGGCAGCTTGTCTGTGGTTGAGAGAAACGAACAAACACACAAACAAAGAAGAATTGGGTTTTAGTGTCACTTCAAAGTAGCTAATCTTGACTGTATTTCATTGCCTCAGAAACAACTTGCTGCTCAAAATAACAGTGGGAAGTGCTGCTTTTACTGCACTGGCTGACATAAAGGACTCTTTCTAACACTCGGATGGGCAAGCAGTACACAGTTTCCAGAGAAATTAGTGCATGGGAGTGGCATTTACTAGGACAAGGGACTTACTTCAACCTCTGGAATTCAGCAAAGGCCTCGTCATATGCTTTAAGAGAAAAAAGAAAAGTTAGAATTTTCTCACCTAGAACGGACAACATGGGGCTGATTAAAATTCGTAACTCGGCTGGTCCGATGGTAGTGGGTTATCAGAACTTATTAACATTAGTGTCACTAAAATTGGTATTCAACCCCCCACTGCTAAATTTGACTGGCTTTAAAAAAAAAAAAAAATTCGTAACTCGAGGTCATGATCAGTCTAGACATGACTAAACTGACTTTGAATAAGACCGTGCCTAAGCGTTCACTCCACAGCTCAATGTACTTAACGAGACAAGCAAATACTTTCTAGGCACAAAATGTGAAATAATAGATTTTAGAAGCTTTCAACTCAGTGAGAGATCTTCAACCCCTCGAACAGAAAGGCAAAAGGTTGCTCCACCAAAGAAAAAAATGGGAACAAAACCCTGTTTCTTTTTTTTCTTTTTCTTTTTTTGAGACAGAGTCTCACTTTGTTGCCCGGGCTAGAGTGAGTGCCGTGGCGTCATCCTAGCTCACAGCAACCTCAAACTCCTGGGCTCAAGTGATCCTCCTGTCTCAGCCTCCCAAGTATCTGGGACTATAGGCATGTGCCACCGCATCTGGCCCAAAAGCCTGTTTCAAACAAAAATTGGTTGTCTAATAAGTATCCTGAGCATCAGAATAGCTTTGTCTTAAATTAAGTTATTGCAGACATCATAGCATCCTAGCTAGACAGTTAAACACCTTTATGTTATGTTGTCTGGTCTATTTGGGCAAAAGAGCACAATGAGTTTCTGTAATCACAGGGTGCTTGCCTGAAGCAGTGTTTCTTATGCCGTGATGGATGTGGGTCGAAAGACAAGTGAGACATGGAAATTAGACTATATAATTCTAAAATAATTTTTTCTTTGTGCCTGCAGAGTGAGCCACTTCGACTGAAGACTTCAGGGTAAATGGCAGGTTCATTCTGAAATCCCTCTTACCTCACCTGTAAGATCCTCTGTGGTTTGGGAATCATAGTATTTTAAGTCTCTAGAGAATACTTATATAATACTTGTCTACACCCTTATTTTACAGATGGAAAAGCAGGTATAAAGCTGGGCTTAAAGTCGCTGGTCCTTTTTTTTTCTCATCTGTAAAATGAGAGGGGTACTGGCCAGGCCAACCCAAGCTGAGCTTCGAGCGCTGCTCTTTGTGCCCCCACCACACGGAGAGGAGATGGGCACGGCTGAGCCAATCTGTGTTTGGGGGCAGTGGTAATGCTGGCAAGACAAGCCACAGCCTTTTGCTTCAGAGGGATTTGAGAGTTGGGTAGTTTAAATAAGCTTTGGTGGGCCAGAGAGTACAAATAAAGTTTTTAAAAAATTTTAAATTTATCCACCCACATATTGCTCCCCTCTTCCTCCTGTGTTTCAAGTGGTCAGACGGGCTGCAGAAGGAATCCCCCATTGCTGTGCACTTGTGACGCAGGCAAGGTGTGGCCTAGACAGCCCCTGTCGCTCAGGAGCAGCCACTCTAACCCTGCAGATCCCGCAGGGGCCCTTCCAGTCACAAAGGGTGGGGGTGGGGATAAGGGCACTCAGCACCAAAAAAACTCCAGGCAGAGTTGAAAGGCTGCTCTCTAAATGATGAGCCTACTCTCTGAGGATGAAAAAAACGAGTTATTGCATATTTAGATTGTATTTTAATATACGAAGAAGTGGAGGAAAAAGTCAGTCTACAGCTTCCTTTAGTTACTTCAATACAATGTGGACTGCTTCATTTTTACAGGAAAGACTAAGATGAAGAGGCTAGCACTGGGAGACGGAGGAACGGCACATTGTTTTTAACTTTTTACTTATAATCGTGCATGTTTTAACTTAAAACATTTTAATTAATAGCTGCACCTCACCTTTTGTCTTTGCTCTTAGATGGAAACCTTTGTCTCTGTCTCTCATTACTCTCTTCTCTTCAGAACCCCTTATTCTCTCAGCAGATGGCCAAGAAATCTGAGGCCATAAGGACCCAACCTCTCCAACTTCCTTCTGTTCACTTGAATATTCATCTCTGCTTATTCACGCCCCGCTGTTTTCTGAAGAACAGGTATCCCTGCTCCTTCCCACAGTCACCTCTGCCCTGGGACTCAAACCTTGCATTCTTCAGAACTGTGATTGTCAACGATTCCCCCTCAACTCGCATCTCAGTCCTTCTAACTCATCTTGTTTCTTGGACTCTATGAACATGCTCAAATATTAGTCACCACAAAACAATCCTTTTTCAGTGCTTGTTCTTGTTTAAGTGACTGTGTCGGCCTGGCCCTCTTTGTAAGCGTTGCCCTGGAAGAGCAGTGCTTCCTTCCGCATGCACTGTCTCCACCTTACTTTTCGCTGATTCTCCACCCACTCAATTCTTGCTTCAACCACCAAGGCTGAAAGAAAATTGTTTTATCACAATCACTGTTAAATATAAAGTTCACAGGAGGCCATTGATTTGCACTGAGCTCCTGCACTAGGCCTCAGCAGAGCAGACCAAACAGGAATGGAGTCTGGCCTCGTGCTAAGTGCCACACAATCAAACTGAACTTTAAAATAGGGCAGTTTTCTAAAAAACGGGAGATTCACAGCAACCAATCAGAAGGGGTCCAGTCAACCTGAGCCAGCATGATAAAGAAGTCCCCTCTGTTTTAATCCCACATAGAAATTAACCTGAAGCACCTTGATGCCAACCAATGTACTTTTTACACTATGCTGTTTCCTTGATCCTGCTCAAGCTACCTTACAAAAACCAATTGTCCTGCCATGTCCAGCAGAGTGCCTTTCTATTACATAGATGAGATACCGCCCAATTCACGACCTGCTAATAAAAGCCAATTAGATTTTTAAACTTAATTTGTTGAAATTTTATTCTTTTTTAAGAATAATTTTTATTCATATACTTTTCTTTTTTTAGAGATGGGGGTCTTGCTAGGTTTCCCAGGCTGCCTCTAACTCCTGAGCTCCAGTGATCCTCCTGCTTTAGCCTCCTGGGTAGCTGAGACCACAGGTACGTGCCACCGTACCTGGTGAAATTTTGTTCTTTGACATCACCAATGTCATATCTCTTTTGACGTCACCAACATAATGACTTCTTTTCACCCTTCATTCTTTTTAAAAAGTCCACTCCTCTATAGTAAGTTTGAGCCTACAGAATTTCTGTTTACCTTGTCCAGAAAGATCCACTGTCTTCTGGTGTCCAGTTTTGCCATCAAAGAGCTCCATCACATATTTTCCTTTGTCATTCGGAGTGGGCTCATTGATTTGTAGCCAGATCTGCTCTCCGGTGACCCCACTCTTAACTCTGTCTGAGTACTTTATAGCAGTCCCACTGTTAAAATCAAAGAAAACATCCTCAGCGTTTGCTTTCATCCAGAGCTGATCTTTACTTTGTCTCTTACTGAAGGTCTTATAAAGTTTTACAGGCTTTCAAAAAATATGGGATCTGCATATGTTATTCTTCTGCTTCAGAGAAATTATGGGCCCTGATGTACAGAACTGGGATTCCAAGGCCCTGGTCTGGTAGTCTGAACATTTATTTTACTCCCCATAGCAGTCTGGGGCCCAGGACAGATTGCAACACCAACACTTCTCAGTGGTATTAATTATCTTTGTGTTTACTTGGGTTTATTTGTAGGACTAAGGGAATATTTAAAGCTAAAAGGTCAAACTACATATTATTTTACTGCATACTTCATACAGATAATCTGTGGCTATAAATTAAATTTTACAAGCTAGTCAAAAACACACTTATGGAGGCTCATCTGTGGCTGACATCTATTGACATATGTTGTTACAAAGCTTTTTAAAACATAGGTAAAAATGCACTTGGTAGTAGAGCCAAGAGTGAATGAATAGCAGAGTTGCTGCCAAAGTGAATGAGGCACATTCTCTGTCCCTGAGTGTGAGTTTTTCAGGATTCTATAGTAGGTCATGAGCAGACTCGTGCATTATATTCTCTACAGGAGAATAAAAGGAAATATAGCCCTTTGTTTTGTGATCTGCTGGTCTAGAAATGCTACTGTTATTGATGAAATAAGAAAAAAGGAGTTAGATGTACTCTCAGTGATGTCACAAGAAACTTTATGAAGAGTTTGTAAAAATGTGAGGAAATAAGAAAAAGAGCAATATATAAAACTATTATAGCAACAATGATGTGTAGAAAAAAAAGGCTGGAAGGAAGTGCTCCAAATTGTTCATATTATGGCTAGTAAAACTACAGATGATATCATATTATGAATTTTTCTAACTTGTAGTATGATACTATAAATGTGTTTTCTAAAACAAGCATGTTTATGTTTGTAGTTGTAACAAACAAAATGAACTTTAGAAAACACAGAACAAATTTTCCACCAAAAAATTTTAGCTTCAAATACATATCTAGCATTTTTCTTATACCACTATATTCTTTAAAGAATGTTTATTATCTAAAAAGATACTAAAAACTAAAATGCCATAAAATATAAGGTAAAGAAACCCATCTGCACCCTACAAATTTAGCCTGAGCAATAGATAGGTCTTAGAGAATTAGACAGAAAGATTGTTCTCTGCTTTGTCATAATAAATATTTGAATTCTTTAATCTCTGGCTAACATGCATAATAGTACCTTACATTTGTAAGTGCTTCAGAAAGAATAGGTATTATTGCTCCTATTTTATATAAGAGAAAACTGAGATTCGGAAAATTAAATGACTTGCCCAATGTCGCAAGGGAAGATAGCAGCAAAGTCAGGACTAAAACCCATTTCAAGGTTTTTTCCCCCATAATGGCACATGTAGACAGCAAAGACAATCCTAGATTCCTGAATCTTATAGGAACATGAATACACAAAAAATTCATGTAGCCGACTAGACCAAATAATGTAAGAAGCCTATGCCTTGCTAGTCTACTAGCAATTTCTTCAAAACACATTTTCAATATTCTAATTTTTTAAACAATTCTTATAGAGAAGATATAAAGCTTTTTTGATTGATGATTCAATGAATTTTACTTCTCTCATTCTTCAGTCTGATATATGAGAATGTCCTAGATGTCACAGAGAAATTCCTAGAATTTGATCTATTTTAACTTACAATTACATTCCTAAAATGTATTATGAAGAAAACAGAACAAAGGAATGAAACCCCAAGCATTCTACACTGAAATTTTACTACTTCTCATTTTTAGAACTAAGGAAATAATAATAGTAATAAAAACACGGTTCTACATAACAATAAAGTCATTTTAAAGAAAACACAAATGACTGCTTTGTGGGACCAGGCTCTAGTTAACTGTTTAATCTAGAGTTTATGCAATGAGAACACGGGGTGGGGGGTCCACGATGAGCTGCTCTGGAAGGAGGCTGTCTGGGCTCAGCCCTCGACTCGTCTCTTCGTTGTGTGATCTTGGGCAAGTCACCTGCCCAAGTCTGAGCTTCCTCATCATGAAAGTGAGGTGTACCTACCACATAGCCTTGTGACTATGAAATAAAATCATATATTTAAAGAGTCTGGAGCAGTGCCCGGCATACTGTGAGTGCCCACTAAAGGTACCGTACAATAAACACTGCTACCTGCATCCTGCTGGAGATACCACGGGGCCTTCTTAGTGGAACTTTTAGGAAAATCTGGTGGTTTGGAATGAGTGTCCACTACACCCTGACACTGGGCTGACAGCGCCTGTGCCCCATCAGATTATCTATGCCAGGCCTCTGTTCTCTTTCAGCTCAGAACCTTTCAAGGAAGCACAGAGGTTACGGACACCAGCAAGAGCGTATATGGTAGGGTTCCATTTAGAAACCTATTTCAGCTCTTGGAATCCCAGAAGTGAACTTGAATGTAATCCCTCTATAACTCCACAAAGGTAGCCTGGGATTAGAACAGATCTTCAGGTTCAATCCAGTTCAAATACATATTCCTCAAAGTCATCTTGAGATCTCTAAAGCCTTCTGAGGGTAGACAAGAAACATGCTAATGTCCAACTATGCCAACTGCTGTAACCACCACCACCAACAATAATCTCGGGCACTCCTCTGGATTAGGCTTCTTTGGTGAATGGACATTAATTTACATGGTGGGAAATTTGGTGCACACTGCTTCATTCTTATTCCAGACCACAGGATGTGTTAACTGCATATGGAAAGAGAAGGCTAAGAATGTGGCTCTGGACACCTGGCAGAACAGAGATAGCCCAGGCATGACTGTCTGGAGGTAAGAGTTAACATTATAGAGATATCCGTTAATTACAATACTTCTTAGATCACAGAGAAAGACGTACTGTAGCCTCATCATGTACAAACTGAGGGAAAGAGCTAGCCTCACAGCAAGGGAATGCCCTGGTGTTTCTGTGCTATGCTCATCAACATCAGACTTGAGAATTAGGAAGACTCCCCTACTTGAGAGGAACAGAAGATTTTTTTCTCATTCCCCACTTCCCCAGCAGAGAAAGAATTTTACACAGCAAGTAAATTCCTATTTACTTACTTGTGGGACCAGTTAACTTTCAAATCATCCAAGTAGTAAGTAACAAAAGAGTACAGCCGGATGCCCTCAGCTGTGCTCTGAATTTTCAGGTCTGTAGCAGACAAAGCTAAAAGAAGAAAACAGCACATTTCATGCACCCGTAAGGCCGTCCTGGCAGGAGACTAATAATGATAATATTGTGGTATGAAAACTTTAACTTACCTATTTTTTTGCATACTTCTGTTATCAGTTCTTTAAAGGCTGTGGGTAGAGGTTCATAGCCAAAATTTTAGCATACAAATGCTCAATGTAAAGTCAAATCTCAAATCGTTAGTTCTCAAAACTTCCCTGTCTGGTGAAGGGAATTGGACAAGTGCTCTTTGAGGAAATAACTTAATTTTTATCAGGTTTTTAAAGATCTCTGCTTATTTTGATATTTTTTCCTCTAATTCTTTACCATATTTACATTCTAGAGAAAGGGCCACAATGAGATTTCCAGGAAGGTTCTTGGCTTTAAGATTCTCTTTCTTAAGTCCCAGGAAGCCTTGGTTTACATTAGAGGATGTTTTCTTATCAGTATCATCAATTCATAATGAATTAACCATCTAGGTCCCCTGGTCTTCCTCAGCCTAACAGTGCTTTTTTGCCGATAAACACATTGAGCCCTGCTCTACCAAGAGCAGGAAGGTGAAATCAGTCAGACTTCTGCTGTTTGTTAGCAATATTGTCAAAAGATCTTGCTAAGGAACAAAGTTGGAAGTTTGGGGGGTCACATGTTGGTTTTAATCATCATGATATATTTGTCCTTAGTAGTTTCTGAAAAATGGAAATTGCTTTCTTGCTTTGCTAACTGTGAGGCTTCGAATTTCCTATATAAATCTTTCTTGCTACCTTTAAGAGTGGACTGTTTTTCATCATGCCTTTCACAGAAGTTTTTGATCCTGGAACATTTTTATAGAGTTGAAATAAAAACGATGATTTAAATTGAAAACAGACCCCTGATGGACTATGGACTGTAAATTCTCTGAGGATCAAAAGTATATTTCTGATTTCTAGGAAGACTAAGGGTGAAGTATTTTTGAATACTTCACCGTTGAAGACAGTAGTTCACTCTGCTGGAATTTTAATTAAAACAAAATCTGTGGACAAAGAATCAGCATGACTTCAATCATCAGCCCAACCTCAATCAGAATTCTGGCAAACTGCATATAGAACACACAAAACAGCCCCCAGCAGTTGGCAGACTAACCTTCATCCACAAGCTTCAGTCTGCTCTTATCTTTTCCTCGGTCATCTTTCAGGATAACTTCATAAATCCCAGCATCTTTCTTGGAAAACTAAGGGGGAATGGATATGCCACATTGCAGCTTATCATAGCCACAGGGTATGGTGTCTGCATTTTGCAGGCTCTTGATTTGTGGAACTGCCATCAAAACACACAGTGAACAAGCATCCAGCCATGCGAGTGATGAACGGTTCAGAGACACTATCCATAATAATTTGACTAGCTAGCAGTTCTGACTTTTTACCTTCTAAGGCTATAACTGATTTGAGGCTTAAAGTCCTTACCTTTTACTCTGCCATCATTTGTTAAAAACTAATGATCCCATATGTCTGAAAGCTGTGCTCTTCTCAACAAAAAGTAGATAAAAATCTATACTTAAAATGAATACTGTGTCTGACTGTCTCTGTACTTTTAGGGAATAATTTATCATGAGGCTTAAGTACAAACAAAGAAGGATCCACTTAACTGCCCATATATGAAAAAAAGTAGCTCAGAACCATCCAGCTGACACTGGTTGGATATCTGACAAATCCATGCACATCTCAAGGTGAGAGAAGCTTTTCTGTTCCTATAGCAGTTGGAATTAAGCCATTATAAATTCCCTGGGCATGAAAGGAATGTCAACTCTAATCTCTGTTTTGGGGAAGAATATAGGGTACAGAGCTAATATATTACATTTCACATTTATAATCACCTACCTCTGTTATAAGCAAGGTACATATACCATCCTTAAAGTCATGCTTCTCATCCACCGATATCTCCCTTTCATCTTTGTACCACACGATATGAGTCTCCTTCTTAATATTTGCCACCTACAAGAAAAACCATAATTACCCTTCTTGAAATACGGAAATTTTGCTCTTATGAAACTAAATAGTTCTAAATGCAGCCAGGCATAGAAGAAAAAGCACAGAACATGGAGTCGGAAGACATAGATTTCTAAAGAAATCAATTGAAAGCTATTTTAATGGAGAAAAGAGTTTAGAATAGACTGGATACTAATGAATACACCTAAATCAATAGCATCTCTACTTCCAGCAGTAAAAACTGACTTTAAAATCATTTGGTAGAAAAGAGAGAATACATACATGCTAACATACACATTTAAAATAGAAATCTCAAAACCAAAGGAAGACAAATCCCATTAGATTAAAATATAGGCTGTCACAAAAACAAATGGCTTTATTAAAGGAACAGAATGGGTAAGTCCCAATCTATATCTAAACATTTTTAAAAAAGATAAAGGAAGCATTGCAAATGTATGTAGAGGGGAGGTATGGTTCAATAAGTTAACTGCTTAGCAATTTTGAGGAGACTCATTTAGATCCTGATCTACACATCATATCATAAATTTCAAATGAACTACACAACTTATATGGTTAAAGGGATTTTGAACTTTATAATGTTTGAATTTTTTACAAAGGAGAATATGTCTTAGCACTCTGGGAGGCTGAGGTAGGAGGATCGCTTGAGCTCAGGAGTTCAAGACCAGCCTGAGCAAGAGTGAGACCCTGTCTCTATTTAAAAAAAGGGGAAAAAAAAGGAGAATATGTTTATGTATTTCTTGTATAATTCAAATTGTATGAAAAAGTAAAGGCTTTATACAAATCCAGAAAATAATCTCAGAGACTCCTCTGAATAATTGGTGAAATATAGAATTCCCCAGAGGAAATAAAATTCCGAAACCAACAGATGAAGAAAATGTTAAGTCTTATTGTTAACAAGAACATTTAAGTTTTAAAATGTGAAAAAATTTCAGCTAATAAATGAACATAGGAGCCAACACTGGTAGCTATAGTGAAACCAGTACGCACAATCATTCTTTATGACCCTGAAAACTGGTTCCCCTGAATTAATAGAAACTGTGTTACTAGGTGACATTGACATATAATAAAAATGGCCCTATTGGAAAGCTGCATCTGGACTGGGAGGGACTAGAAATGGACTGCACAGCTTTGGGCTTTGCTTAGTGCACCGTCTCTTGTAACTTGGACACGCCCCTTGTGGGGATCCTGGAAGCTCTGCTTAGGAAGTTGTTACAAGAAGTACTGGATCCTTGGGCATGAGGATTTTTGGAAGCCACGATGCCTGCTTCCCACACCTGCCCGATGTGGATCTTGTCTCCTTGCACCTGAGCTTCCTTTCATCTGAGGTGGCGAAGGGAACAGCTCCACATGTGGACTCCTGCAGGAGAGGAATGCCCAGCACTGCCTCTCAGGAAAGCCGGGGTTCTCCTACGTTCTCGAGTAGACTAGTGCCAAGTGGGGTCCATGACAGTCTAGCGAGTCTGAATGTTTAGCTGCACATACTCCATGAGCTATAATGTAGTATGTAAACTGCTAAAATTACATGAACTGCTACAATAATGGAACAAAGAGCTATGGGAGGATAGAGGAAGGTTCATTCTACCTGGACTGAGAAGTCACCTTACAGAGGTGACTGGGTGGGGCCTGAGGAAGGATGGTCAGAGAAGCTGAAAGAAGGCTATTCCGGGGATTGGCACAGCATAAACATGTAATGTGTGAATATCCACCACTTTTTCTGGGCTCCCCTTGGTTGCTCAGAATCTGGGTGAGGAAAGCCATCGGCGTAGGACACCAGAGCTCACCTCCCAGAGAGACACAGCTAGCACAGACAAGGAGGGACACGTAGGCTTTTGGGATGGTGATGGATTAGGAGGAGGGGCCACCTAGATGAGAAAGTGAGTGGGGGGCAGCATGGCAGTGGGCAGCCAGGATGACAGAGAGGGGGAGGGTTTTAGCTGCTGCCTGTGGAAGGCTTTTTTTTTTTTTTTTTTTT